AGAGGCAACAATTTATTCTATGGTTCTATTTAGTTTTGTAACGTCACCAATAATATTTCATAAATCATTCTAATAATCACACGCATTATTGTTGTGTGTGTTGTCTATATTTGACTTAGTAAATTATTGTCATTATTAAATTTGCATTAAGAATTTAGCTTAACGATATTTCGACGTAGCCTAACAGTATTCTTCAATTAATTTTTACACTACCTATCTTTTCTACTCACAAAACAATTGAATACATCAAACAAAAGCAACAATTCTTCTTCTTCTTTTTGTCTTTTATTCTACTGAATAATCAGCCAGTACATTTGTTGTGTTAATTTTTGGGCCACTTTCGTGAGTCTGAGAATATATCTCATGCCCTATTATTGGTGAATTTAGATATTTTATTTACAAATCTACATTTTATTTATGTTTTCTATTTTCTTATAATTGGTTTAAATGTTAATTTTGGATAGGTTATTACGAAGGTTATAATTTTATATGGTTGATCTGTAGGAATCTGAGAAGAATTTTGATAATTGTAGGGTTAATATCGCATAGAAGCATTGGCATGTTAATTGGGGTTGTAATATTAACTTTGATCAGCTCCTGATAGACATCATAATCTTTTATTTTGTTTATTGGGCATTCCCAAAATATGTGTTCTAGTGTTTCCATTTGCCCACATTCACAGTATGGATTATCGCGAATGTTAATTTTATATAAATGTACTCCTGTCAGACAATGACCTGTCCTCATTCTAATAATGGTAGTAATATGCCGCCTATCTATGTATGGGATTGTATCAAACCATGGTTTATTAGGAAAAAAATTTTGTATGTTGTTATACCACTTGCCTTTATATTGAAAAGAATTTAACCAATTATTTTGATGCATAGAACATATTTTATTTTTTAATATTGGCATGATATCCAAGTTACTTAATCGAATTTTAGCAGGAATATTTAATTCAGCTCCAATCTTTGCCAGTTTGTCCGCTATATCATTTCCCTTAATATCATTATGTCCAGGAATCCAACATAATCTAATATATTTCCCATATTTATTTAAATGGTATAGTTTCTTTTTAACTTGCAAGACTCTGTAATCCTTTGTTACAGTTATCATATTGTTATTAATGTTATCTATAGCGCTCTTTGAGTCCGTAAATATTATAGCTTTATCAAAATTTTTTTCCTCGCAAATCAATATACCCTTTTGAATAGCTATTATTTCAGCTGTACAGATATTAATAAGTAAAGGAATTTTTTCAGAAAAGGAATAATTTATACTAGGTATGTGTATTCCTATGCCCGTTTTGGCTTCCTCAAGGTTTTGATTTTTTGAAGCAAAGATTCTTTAATGACATTGCATTACTTTTTTCTCTATAGTAAAATGCCGAGGAAAGCGTCACGTCACAAGAAGGCGTCATGGGTAGCGTCACGAAATAGCGGCTCTTCACATCGATTCCCTAATCTCAATCAATTCATTTCTAGTCATCATATATTTATTATAAGCTGATTTAAATTAAAAACTATGGAAAAAAAACTAAAAAAATACAGAAAAATTTAAAGGTCATAATTGACATCCAACTAATAAAAATATTGAATTATCTGTTTAAATTTTTATGACACTTCTCAATATAATTTAATCAAATAAAAGGCAGATCTTGCCCAAGTACTTTCGCTCCAAGAGGATTTTCAGTGGCATTTCGTAAAATTTGGCCTATCCAACAATATATTGAGAATGTCATAAACATTAAAAATCATACATTAACACAACACGACACAAGTGCAAATAGTTTAAAATTAAAAAAAAAATGACGAAGCTATTGGTTGGCATCAGGAGAGAGAGAACCTCTCTCCTGATGCCAACCAAGACTATTAATGGAGTAGGAGCATGCTTTGTGATATCACATAGACATTCCATCTATAAATTGTCTCCCGATACAAGTATTTTTACTTTTGCCATAATTAAGGCCCTAACCTTTATTCTAAAAAAAAAACATCCCAAATCTTTTATAATATCTGTTTCATTTAGTTGTCTGACATCAATTTCTCAGATTTATCCCTCTCATCCAATATTACAGAAGATAAAGTTAATTTTATACCGTATATACCAAAACAATTTGACAGTAGAGTTCCTCTGCGTACCGTCACACGTTGGAATAGATGGTAACGAAAAGGCAGATAGTCTAGCTAGATCCGCAGTAACCAGTACAGCCACATCAGTGGAAAATCTAATGGTGCATTTAGATTTAAAACTGTAAACTTTAAAAATTGCACGATGTTTGACAAAACCAATGGAATAGAAGCACCACTAAATTGAGAGAAATAAAATCTTCCGTCCTTTCATTTAACTTATGGCCTTCAAAGCGACAACATCAAGTCCTAATAACACGTCTCAGATTAGGGCACACTTCTACAACACATGAATACTTGTTGAAGGGAGAAGAGGAACCAGTGTGTTTTTTTGTGAATGTAAACTGACAGTGAAGCACATTTTGATTTACTGTCCAATATACTCAGTTAAAAGACTATGTCACCACATTCCAAATACATTAAAAGAACTTCTAGAAGAATCTAAATACGTAGCTGACTTGATAGAATTCTTAAAATCTATAAACTTTTTTAATAAAATTTAACACAATACATCAAAAAATAAAATATATTGCATACCTTAGTATGTAATTGATATTTTGAATATGCCTATGTATGTCCTTAAATCTTTTTGTATTTTTCTTATGCTAATAACCCTAAGTGGTTGAAGCAAAATAAATAAAAAGAAATCTTAGAACAAGGAATTTTACTTCAATTACAATACATTTTACGTCATTTCTGAAAAATGCATCTTCAAATCGTTCTTCCATGGGATCCAAATGACTGATATGAATAAAAGTGTCTTTTACAAGACTGTTATTCTACGATAAAAAAAAGAATAAATAGCCTTTTATCAAAGATTGTAAAATTGCTATTGTTTTTCCATATCGACGCCGCTGCTTCATGTGTACACTGAGTGTACTAATTGAAGTTCGAGGTAAAAAAGTTGAATCCGAAAGGTGGTTACATGTGTTCTCGAGCATTCGCTTAAGCAGGCGACGTTTTTAGATCGAAGGCGGCTTTTCTTTGTATTGATATGTATGTGCCGAGATCCATGACGATTACGGACGCATGGGAACAAGAATCGATGCTAATTCTCTTTGGATTAGAGAATAATTGAATCGTCACATCTACGATGACCATGTAATGTTCTATTCATAAACATACGACGTTACGTTTATTGGAATAACAAAATAGATATTAAATAGTTGCGTGGAAATTACTGACAATGCATTTAAAACGGCCACTAAAGACAAAAAATCCAAAATATTAATCATTAAGAATCTGCAGGATTAGTTTTTTACCAAATCAGACGAATTCATCAAGAAGATTCATATATAGAAAATAAAAACCAAAATTTGATGAGTTTACATGGAGGTAGTGGAAGAAAAAGGTAGAGCTAAAAAAATTATTTTTAAAAATAGAATAGTCAATCAATGAAGCACAACAATTTCACATTTTTAATTAATTTTACATTCAATATCATCTATGAATGTTTCTCTTAACAAAACACTACTAAGTTATATTTTAATAAATTTAAAAAAACTACAAGTTTTTTTGTAGACAAATGCTTAGAACTTCTAATACTTATATTAACGATTAAGAATAAAATAAAAGAAAGACAACGGTACAAAAAGCAAAAATTAGAAATGCTGTTGACCTAAATGAAACAAAAAACCGGCTGATTTTTAAAGTTGGCAGACAAAAGAATATAAAAGTGCTATTAATTGCACACCCTCAAACTTTTCCTAATGCTTTCCAGCAGAATCAGGCACAAATGCGAAGAAACTCATGAATTCTGGTTTTCGAAATTACTCGTTAGGATATTTTATGACTTTCGTTTAACAAAACTGCAACGGTTTATATAAAATTGATTAATGCTACTGCTTTGGTTGGATAATTAACTTTATTCAATTTGATTTAAAAATAGAGTTTTAAAGGACTTAGACGAGGATTCATAATTAAGTACAACTGATTTTAAAATATATAGTAGCACGCAGTTCCACGAAATATTTCATCCGTAGACACTAGAAACAAAACAGCTCTCGAGTAGCGTTGCAATATTAAACAATTTGATATTTTATATTCAAACGACAAAATTTTGTATTACTCACTTAAACAATAAATGAAATTTATTTTTACAAAGATTGTTTTTTCTTTAAAACCGTAAATATATAGTCATTAAGGATATACAAAGAACTGATCAAAATTATTTTCGATAATTTAAATCCATTGGATTTAACACGAGTTTCTAATTAAGTCTCATAAAGTCCAAGTCTTATAAAGAAAGGTGTGAATACGCGTATGAGAAACTGTTTTATAAAGTGGAGACCGGTAAGTGTAGTACGAGTAAACAGATCAGATTGACACCGGAAATCAAAGTGATAAATATATATAAACACTGTTTTCTAAAGATAATCGAACCAATATTAAAAAATGTGTAAGCGAAACTACTGTGTATCAGTCTACCATTAAGAAAATAATTCAACAAGCGAATATGTTATGATATGGTATGGTATGATAGAAAGCAATGACCTATGTGCTTAGGTATGAATTATTCGTGAGATTATAAATTGGGGATTTGAGCTCATATGAACACAGTCAATCATAAGTAGTTACCTAACGAACATCATATTATGTAATTACCAGTAGCTGTCAATAAATCAACACTTTACTCCACAACTTCAACCTTTTATTATACCTATCATCATCGATCGACAAGAAGCGGACAAAGGGGCTTTTACAAACCGATTCGAACCTCAAAACTAAGTTCGAATCTTTTCATTGGTCCTTCGAGCCGGATGGCGAAAAAAGATGGCGATAAATATCCAAAATCTCCTAACTTAAAGAGCAAACAAGAAGATGCGGGGAGTTCATCTGGGTCCTCAGCAATTTCAAATAAAGCATCTAAGGATGATTCTGGAAACTCTGAGGATGCCGCTGGGTCCAGCATTGAGGCGAAATCTACCAAAGAATCCTCCTCAAGTCCAGAAAAGAACAGGTCAATTTCAGAGATTAAGATTACTTAATCAGAAAGTCCAGAAACTAAGGATGTATTCGGAATCTCAGGCGACACAGAACGGAGAGGCATCAGAAGACGTTGAGAAAACGAATGTTACAAGTTCAATTCCACAAGAAAATGGGGATGTCGGTAATAAAGGTAAAGGAAAAGTCCGATATCAAAATCTCCCCAAAAACCTGCTGTGACTAGGCCTAAAAGAAATGCTAAACAGTTATATAAGAAGCTTTTGGACTTCAAACCCGAGGAAGAAAGCGATAGTGAAAATGAAGAAGTGTTACTTGCAACGGCATTAGTACGAGTAAGAAACTCAACAGGAAGCTCACAATTGATGAGGGCATTGATTGACCAAGGCTCGCAGTCATCATTCATTACGGAGCAGGCCGATACAAGTCTTGGAATAAAAAGAAAAGCTGTCCACGCTCAGATATCTGGAATTGGCAATAAAGACCAAAGGACGTCGAAATGGAGCGTAACATTAAACTTAGAGGCGCATTTCAAAAATGAATTTGAAATGAGGACTGAAGCAATTGTACTAAGAAAAATAACAAAAAATCTACCGGAGAAAGAGATAAAAATGACAGAAAGGAACCATAGGAACTTAGTCCTGGCGGATCCAAATTTTAATGAAACAGGTTCAATAGATATTCTATTTGGAGCCAATGAATATAATTTGATATTAAAGGACGGAGTAGATCGAACAAAGAATGCTTTGCTGGCCCAAAATACAAAATTGGGTTGGATAATGTCAGGGATAGCACAGGAAGAGAATATCCCTAATATACAAGTACTCAGTATGCTATGACAGATGGATGAAGATAGAAAACAATACTGGAAGTTAGAAGAAGTAGATCAAAGCAATACTCTTTCAGTAGAAGAAAAAATGTGTAAAGGATATTATAAAAGAACAGCAAAAAGGGATAACGAAGGAAGATTTGAAGTTAAAATACCCTTTAATTCTAGTACAAGATTATTAGGAGGACTCACTACAGCAAGCACATGTGGGACTTCTGCAATTAGAGAAGAAATTTCTAAGAGACACCAACCTAGAAAAAGAAGAGGTGGTGTTGTGCGCTCGTTGTTGGTCCCAAGGAATCAACTTGCAGTAGATTACAATTACTTGCACTAATTTTTTTAAGTGACATGAAAATAAAGGAGGGTAGTCAAATATTTCGAAACTCTAAGAGAGCCAGAAAATGAAGACATACTTCATCACAACCAAATTTAAGTAGTACTTTAAAGAAAGCCCCTCCTAGATCAGTTTCACTTAATGAGCTTAGATTTGAATTAGACAGTTTAGCTGAAACATAAATTCTAAATAATCAAATTATAGGTAGCACTGCTCGGGTGATATAATAATTCAAAAACCGAGTGAATTAGTTTTACGATTATTATTATTATTATTTTATATTTTATACGTATTTAAATATTGTCTATTGGTCGTCTGTTTGTTTTTTATATAGTGGCCAATATGTTCAATTACAAATTAACCTATTAATCTTTTATAGGTTCACCGTGTATAAGTGACATTGTAAAACCATATCGTATAATATTTTAATAATAGTTCATTTACCTACAACTAAATAAATTGCCGAATAATATATTTTCTAATTGAACTTCCTAAGTGTCGCAATTAAGGCGTAGATTAAATTGTATTGTAAGCAAAGTTTGTTATGATATGGTATGGTATGATAGAAAGCAATGACCTATGTGCTTAGGTATGAATTATTTGTGAGATTATAAATTGGGGATTTGAGCTCATATGAACACAGTCAATCATAAGTTGTTACCCAACGAACATCATATTGTGTAATTACCAGTAGCTGTCAATAAATCAACACTTTACTCCACAACTTCAATCTTTTATTATACCTATCATCATCGATCGACAAGAAGCGGACAAAGGGGCATTTACAAACCGATTCGAACCTCAAAACTAAGTTCGAATCTTTCCAAGGTGTATATCTTGATCAAACCTGTTTACATGATAGTGGTGAAGGATTTTTCAAAAATATTTCAAAAGGAAGTAAGTCGCTTATCACTAGACTAATGCAAATATGCAAAAATAAAGTGAAAAATTTGCACATAAATATGCATGAATTTACCCAAAAAGCAGTGGCATGTTCGACCACATGCCACTGCCATAGTGGGTAATTATCTTATTGAGGTAAACAGTCGAAGATTGGATTGGCCACCATTTAGCCCGGATTTAAATCCAATAGAGCACATGAGGTATCAGCTAAAATGACGAACCCGAAAAGAAATCTCGTTCCAAATTCGATAGAACAGGTCGGTTGCCAGCACAGGATGCACACACATGCACATGTGTCAGTTAAAAAGACTTGTTTAAGCAATTGAAATTAGCATTTAAGTTTAGAGTAAAATAACCATATTTATCTAACATTAAGCATTATTTTTTCGCAATTTTCTCCGCATAACATTGTTAAAATAAATTTTTCAGCTACCTTAGTAAGTTTCTGAAAACCATTGTTTGTTTGAATTATTTTTTCAAATTTTTGAAATATATCCTTTTCAGTGTCATCTTTACATTTTGATAAGCTGATCTAATTTCTTTTTTGAGGAGATTTGACGAATACTTTTTTTGTGCTTGATATCAGGGAGTTTACAAAAGGAAACTTTTTCTAATTTCTTCCGCAACTCTGTTCATTCCATGTGCTAAACAAGTTACGTGTATTAATTTGGTATACAATATTTTTAAATTTTGTCCTACCTTGACCACATAATAAGACTGAGAAAATAAGGGAATGCCTATTAACGGAAGATACTTGAACCATCTTAGATACGCAGATGGTGGTAGTACTAATAACCGATACGTGAAAAGCACTGAATATGATGATTGAGGAGATACACACAGAAACCTTAAAAAAACAACTGAAAATGAATTTCAGCAAAACTAAACTAATGTCAAACAAAGGTGACAAATCTATGATAAACATCCAAGGGACAGAGATAGAACACGTAGATGAATATACGTATCTGGGTCAAAATGTGAAGGTAAGCAAAGAAAATCAGACTACCGAAATAAGCAGACGTGTAAAAATGGGATGAGTAGTTTTCGGAAGACTCTCATACGTAATGAATGTAACTTGATTTGCACTTCGAATATGCCGCTGGTAAATAGTCAAATTCTGTGTGAAAAAAGACTTTATTTTTAAATAACACAATACATGAATATATGACCGCTAATATGTATTATGTTCCGCTCGCTATGCTGGATCACCAATCTCGTTTGTATTTTGTGTGCTGTTGCTTGGAGATTCTTTTAGTGACTCTTCTTATCTTCACATATAGCATAATATATCTGCACACGCTGCTACGTTGCTGCATCGGAAAAAATGCATGAAATCGACTTAAAACATATGATGGCGTGAACACGTACTTAAAAACAAAAATATATCTCAAAGACTGCTAACCAAAGTGTTTAATTACTGTATCCTATCTGTACTTACATATGGAGCTCAAACCTAGACATTCACTAAAATAAACATGGAGAAGATCAGAGAAACTCAGAGAGCTATGGAACGACAGATGCTGGGTATCTCACTCAAAGACCATAAAAACAATGAAGACATTCGTAATAGAACAAAAGTAAAAGATGCTATCGAACAGGCAACTAAACTGAAATGGAAATGAGCTGGACATAACGAACGTCTTAAGGATGACCAATGGAATAAAGAAATCGGGAATTGGCGGCCATATGAAGTCAAAAGACCACGAGGAAGACCGCAAATGCGTTGGAGCGACGATATTAAAAGAACTGCAGGACCAATGTAGAAACGTCTTACAAACAAGAGATGAATGACGAGAATTAGGAGAGGCCTATATTCGGCAATCTGAATAGAGAGAATGGTTTAAAATATACATATTGCATTTAATTAATTTTTTATAGAGGGTGTCTGAATACTGATGATATTTATTAAATTCAAAAAAGATATGATCAAAAGCACCCGGTTTTCCGCAATATCTACAATTATCGTCCTCGATTACTTTTATTTTAAATAAATGACATGGATATACGTAGAGCGTTAAAGCCCTGAAACTAAGTGTTTCTAAACTAGTGACATGATAAATATGAAAATAAAGAGTAACCTTATCCTTAAAGCTTTAACCCAAATATTATATTGAAGCCAGTGGATGCTAAATGCTTAACTGATTTTATGAATTGAGTGATAAAACTATTTTTAATTAATTTATTATAAATTCAGTTCCGACTGTTTCCGACTTTATGAAAGTGGTGATTTATGTTTAGATTTAGTTAAATTATCTACCAAATAGATTGACTTAGTAACTGAAGTTACTAAGTATTCAAATTCCAAGTGCAATCAAATTTGTTGCGGCAATTGTACACTATTCACAATTTTCATTCATGCGAAAACGCATATGTAATGAATTACAAGCAAAGAAATTTCATTTTCTCTACAAAGTTATAATATTCTGTCAGTAAGAGATATAAACACGGCAAAATTATGCGACAACAAATCATGTCCACAAGTCAAAGTAAACGTATACATTATATGCGGTACAAAATGAGAATTGACTGTTGACAGTTTATCGTAGAAATAAAAGAAGCCCGTTTAAAAGTTTATTTATTGCTTAAAACTCGTGGTAAATAATTATCGTCAACGTATTACTTTTCGTAAAATCGAAAAAAGCTAATGAAGAAGTTTTGTATAGGAACGAGACGCGCATAACCTCGTCAACAATTCGCTATTTTTACATCATAAATAATGCAGTAACGGTTTAACCAGAGATTAGAATGTTTAGTCTAATGAAATTAAATTTTATTACTGATAAGGAAGGATGGTACTCATTTTTTATATTGGGTCTCCTCTATTTATAAAGTTCCATCTGGGAACACATTGGATCATATAAATACCAATCTACAATCCACATCATTAACATATATCAAATATCTTAAAGTATCCTGTTATATAGGTAGTAACCTCTTCTTCACATGTCTTTTCATCAAGGAGGTTGGCAATAATCATTACTATCCTTATTTTTAAGGTAGCTAGTACGGAAATTGCATTGAATTGCACTCGAACCATACTGAGCTTTCTCAACTCGTCTGGCTACGTTTACCTTGGACGTTGCTCTGCATTACCTGTAGTTGCTCGGGTTTTTATCCCAAATTTTGAAGTTTTCTTACTTTGACGGAATACAATATTTCATTATCTTTGTTTATTTTGCGGATAACTTTTTCATTGGTCAACATATCTGTGACAAGATATATTTTTTTAATTTTTCGGTATGCGCACTTTTAAAAGCTTTCAATTTATTCGGATAACGTTTACAGCAACGACAGCTTATTGAAAAACAGACCCTTCCACCAAGCTTTCTTCAGTATTAAAAGAACTAAGACTAATTGCTCCTACTCTATTTAAAATGTACATGAATGAAGTCTTAACAGACTGAAACAGGAAATGCGACGCAATGGAAATACCAATAGTAGACACGATCAGGTTATCATAGTAGCTGATTTGAACGACGCATCCTGTGGAAACTACACGAACAGTTGGCTAAGTATGGCCTGGAAATAATCTATGGAAAACACAGCATACGGTGATCGGTGATCCTGAAGAAGAACTCAGTGAGACTCGCTTAAGAATGCTGTGGTTGTGAATCTAGGTGTCCCTTTTCTAATACAAAAACGTCTGATGTAGACGTTAATAATTAAAAAGCTCAAGATAAGAAAGCTATAGGGCAATTGAACTCCGTATTATGAAATGATAAAGTTACAAGAGACTAAATGTTTAATGTATACGGCAATAATAGAAAGTATAT